ATAGAACCCACTCCTGCAAACCCTTTTATGGCAGCATTAATCTATTGACAAGGGCAGAACTCTCATGGCATAAATACCTCCCATTAGGCCCTACGTCCTGCCCACAGAACCAGGCTCCGGGTGCTGCTGAAACTCCACCATCAATGCCTTAACAAGCAACTTTACACCAGTTCACAGCTTGGCTGTCATGCCCCCAAGCTGTGGGCTGGGCCTGTAGGGCAGGGGGCTGTTCAGACAGGAGGTGCCACTCCATTTCTCCTGAGTTGTAGCACCCCATGTCTTTGCCAGCTCCTTTGGTTTGGGAATCTCCTTTATTTCCGGACCTGGGCTGACCTGGATATCAAATACTCTGCACCAGGCAGACACAGTACTAATGTCATCACAGAACCGACCCACCCTCCACCTGCACTCCATCAGGCCAGGGCTCATTTGAGACCCTTCTGGGATTCTGAACAAGGTGGACAGGAGTGGGATGAGTGAGGTGTTCTCTGTGGTCTAACTTTATTTTTTTGCTTCAGTTGTTCTGGGGACTGCTTCACTGGGCTCTGGGAGAAGGGTTGTCCCTTCTGCTCCACTGCCAGGTTATCTGGTCAGACCCAGTTCACACTTTGCTTGCCCCAGGACTCTCCTAATCAATATGTTCTGCCAGGAAGCTTTGGAGCTTTATCTCCTTCCGTATAAAACATTTTCCAAAAGAGAAAGGAGGAAAAGGTAAAGTGCTCTGAGCTACAGTGGGGTAGTTGTTCTCCTCCGGGTGTGTCTGTCCAGGACAGCCTGGCCATCAGCCTGGGAGGGCCTGGTGCCTGCTGCAGGTTGGAGCAGGATAGTGAAAGGCAGGGCCACCCTCGAGAGGAGTGCAGTTTGGGTGCGCATTTCCACATCTGGCCTGGGTGCTACGCCCTGATCACCAGGCGGGGATGGTTTGGTCCTGCCATGTTAAACAGGCACAACATCCCCTTGAAACCTTATTTCACTCCAGCCAGAACTCCAGCCCCACCAGCATTCACCAGGCTGCCATAACCCCAAAGAATGGTCTGGAGACTTGTAGAGCTCCGCAAATGGCATCATCCAGAGAAAATTTGAAACAAAAACAAAGCCATGGGCACAGGGCTGACTGAACTGTTTTGTGAGATGATTAGCGAAGAAAAGCTGAATTTAGGAGGAGTCTTATAAAAGTTCTTGGAAAAATGTAAGTACAAGTTTATTTTGAAACAAAAAATATTTTGAAATCCACGCAGTTTTTTCGTAGTACGTGTTTTCTATGAACTTTTTGAACCCCTTCTCCCCCGCTCATATTTCTGATGTATTCTTCTCATAGTGCAAGGAAGGAATGCAAGGCATTGCTTAATGTCAGTCATGAAAAAATCCATGTTGCTAAGATGCTGTCTCTTAGCTTTTTATGTTGTTTATGGTCTTGCTTTAAGAAATCATCTCAATTTTATGTTATAAAAAATAGCGAAGTTGTTTTTATTTACCTAAAATATGCTCGGCCAAGCCTTTCATCCTTTTAATGGATATGATTACCTATATTTTCTTTATGTTATACTTTATTCTTATTCTTCAGGAGCATGCTGTATATCCCAGTGCCTGCTTTCCCCTTCAGTGTTCTAATTAACAGAAAAGTAGATTTAGGGGGTCTGAGGTACAGTCCAGGTTCTTTTTTTTTTTTTAAGAATTATTTTATTTAACTTTATTTATTTATTTATTCTAGTTTGACCAGAGAGGGACAGAGAGAGAGAGAGAAAGCAAGCTGCCAGGTCTGGACTTGAACTGAGGACGGCCATGTGGGAGTCCTGTGTCCTTAACCACCAAGCTACCTGCTGGCCCCCCGTCCAGGTTTTTGCAAGCGAAACACAACGTATAAAATAGTTAAATAATGTTAATATTGATCTGAGGAAACAATCCTTTTCCCACTTTGTTCCCTTTGGAATTGAAAATCATAGTTCTAGAGAAGCGAACACACTTACCGAAGCCTATAGAGTCAAAAAGAAACTTACGACTTCCTGACTAGGTCATATGTTGTTTTTTAATTTGCCAGAGGGCAGGTATGCTCACCTGAGAGACAGAGGTGTGGGGGAAGCATCTCCGTCAAGGTCATGTCACAATCCCTTCTCCTCCATTTCTCCATCATGCTGGGATTTTGTCCATAAATACACATGCGCCTGGAGTGGTCTCCAAGCCACTGGGCTAGGACTGAACTATGCAGTCAGCCATGTGAGATCTGGCTACTACAGCCATCAGGCCACAGGCTAGCCTGAGTGATAATTATTAAAAACTATTAACCACTATCTGTATTTCTAGCATTAACAGGATCAATAAAATAAAAAATTGAGATTTATAAATATAGAAATCACAATTTGGAGTATGTACATATATACATATATGCATTATAGTACTTTATTACCTTAAAAAGCAGTTACACATGTTTTTTCTTTTTCCCCCAGGTTCTTGCCATAGGGTTTGTGCACTCATGGAGAAAGAGAGAGATAGTGAGAGAGAAACTGAGAAATCACCCCCTGGAGAATGGCTATGCTGCAATCCCTTCTCCTCCATTCTTCTTCTGGGATTTTGGGCATGCATGCACAGGTTCCCGGTATGCATTTCAAGCTGCCATATCTGTGACTTGAACCGTGGTCAGTCGTGTGAGAGTCCAGGACCTTAATCACCATGCCACCTGCTGGCCCACGTTTCTATTTTATATGGAGTGATGTAGAAGGGGAATGTCCTAGTTTGAGCCTAACCTTTATTTTCCTCTTTAACTTATACAAGTTGAATAAGTCAGCTGAATTGTAAAGGCAAGTCTGCCAGAAATCCCTGAGAGAGAACTCATCCTAAGGCAAGTTAGGCAATTAAGATCATACTTATCCTCAGATATTTGGGAGGATGGTTCCAACTCAAAGTACACAGCAGGGTGTCTGGCTCATGGATCTGTCTCCTAGCACAGGTTCCAGTGGACTCATGTTTGAATCCCGTGGAGAAAAGGGAGGCTTTAAGGGGGAAAAAATGGAAAGGACTAGTTTGTTAAGCAATTTTAAAAGACATTTTAAACATCTATGGTTCCCACCTGGATAAATGTAACGCCTATGTTAAAGCTGGAAGAGGGGCATTCTCCATAAGAGACATGGTTCAGCTTTGGCCTACCAGGGACACCAGAGCAATCAGTGAAGCTTTGTACCTTGAGAACGTCAGCACATTAGCAGCAGTGATTAGGACCCGGTGGAAGAACCAGAACCCGTGAGAAGGGGCAGCTGTACCTAGCAGATACTGCAGTGTCTGAGAGTACAGCAGGCCAGGAAGAGAATGTGGCACTCACCTGGAATCACACAGAAATTGTGAGCACGAATGAGACCTCCTTGGGGGTACTATCCCGTATGTTTAAAGGGATTCTAGGGGTTAGGGTTCTGCATGTACAGGTAGGCACAAAAATCCAAACACAGCTCACACAATCTTCATCTCATTTGGTTCCATGGCAGCACTGAATGGCAAGTATTATTCCTAAGTAAATGAGGAAAAAAATAACCCTTCAAGAAATATAATAAATACCTGGCTTATATTTCTGCCTAGGAGAGTCAGAAGAAACATAGGGTGCGCTTGTCTTTTTTTAAGGTTTTGACAAGGATTTATTAAGTACCATCTTGTCTTTTTAAGCTAGTTGACAGTTTTTAAAATTGCTTCACATTTAAAAATTATGTTACTTTTCCAATGCAAGTAAAATGTGTCTTAAAAAATGAAAAATTCAGATAACGAAAAAAAGTCATCACCTTTTATCTTAAAACATAGCCACTTTAAACCTTTGAAGTATATACTTTTAGTTTTCCTTTGCATATTAATATATAAATATACATGTACTTTTTTTACAAAATGGGATGCTATATATGTGTGTGTGTGTGTGTGTATATATATATATATGTATATATATATACATATATATAATTCAAAAATTGCTTCTTGCACTTCACAATATATAATGTACAACTTCCCATGCAAATGGATGGGGCTAATGATGGAAAGATTGCAGCTTTTAGTAGGGAAAAATCAATTCTCTGCCAGTTCCAAGCCAGATCAATAAAACAAAGCCACGCAAATAGTTAAGATTAGGATGGGAAAAGGCATATAAGAAAATGCAAACAGAAAGTTCAAGTAGCAATGCTATTACCCAGTAAAACCGAATTTTTAATGTGCCGGACACATCAAATAGGATAAGGCCTGCTCCGTTTTGCCTTCCAATGCATTATCATCAGTTTGTTTCTTACTCTCTTCATCTCTTCTATCTCATCTGCTGCCTGTATCATCTCCTCATTGCTTAAGTTTCTGCCATGTATGTCCCCTCTAAATTGTGGGCGAGAACGAGCCAGCCTCTCTTTAAAACTTCCTTCTTCTAGCTTATGCTTTCCTACTCCGCAGGGAGGCTGCTCCATGGGAGGGCGCTCCTCAAACAGGTCCTTCCTGGAAAGGCGCTCCTGCGGGGGGCGCTCCTCGCAGAGGAGCATCTCTGGCAGCAGCTCCGGCAGGAGCTCCTCGGGAAAGAACTCCTCCTCCTCCGAGGACTGCTCCTCCGAAGATGGGTCCTCGGAGGACTGCTTTTCGGGGTGCTCTGCAGGAGGCCGCTCCTCTTCTGTCTTCGGCGCGCTCTGTGGCTGCTCCTCATTTTCTGCGCCTGATTTTTCCATGTTGACAATTCTCTTCTTCGAGCACAGTTATTCTTAGGAGACAAGAAGGCAGAGCAAGCGTCAGAACACTGGGCGGTTGGACCAACACCCCCGGCCCTGGGTTCCAATACCGCCCATTTCCTGGGTCCTCAAACCTGCGCTTCCCGAGCGGCTCCCCTGCTCTCGGGACCCCGCCTCGGGACCCCGCCGCTCCTCGGTCGCCCCTTCCTTCCCGAAACCCACCATGTTCCCGGCAGGCCTTGCCACAGGCCTCTCCTGCAGTGATAGGGGCGAGGCGGTGGGGCCCGTGGACTCAGTTCAGTCGGCATCCTCCCTCGCACCCCAGTCCCGGTCCACTGCCCACCCCTTCCCGACCTGGACCTCTCCCGGCCGTGAGCTCCTACTCGTCCTCTCCTCGAGGTGCCTGGCTGTGACCTGCAGACAGACGCCAGGCTGGGGAGGGGAAGGAGGGGAAGGAGAGTGCAGAGCAGGGAGGAGGGACGGCTGACGGACTGTGACACACCCCCTCTTCCTAGGGGCTCTTAATATGCCAGGGTGAGGCTGCACCAAATAGTGAAATGAAGGTGACTGAGAACAATAAAGTTTAAAAATAAAAGTACACAGGGACATCAAGCTTCATCCTCCGTGCCCCTACCACCTCACTCTGCAAAGCTTGTCATTTCACATGGGAAGCGGGTTAAAATATTCCTCAATATCTACTGAATCTGCTGCACCAGCGAGGATGTTTTCCAGCGTCTCTCCCTCCCTTCCGGAGGTGGGGGACACCCTCCTCCCTACCCTCAAGACCACCATTTTCTGCACAGAAATGTGGGCGCGGGGGGGCGGGGCTGGAGCGGAAGGAAAGGCCTGGACTCTGCTCTCGGGATCTGATCCCGGGGGTTACTAAGCAGCTTGGACTCTCTCGCACCGATTTCAGAGGATTGAGGGAACTTACTTCCTTCTGCTGTCCCTCTCGACCAAAGAGTAACAGAGAGACGGTGTCTGGAGAGGCAAAAAGGACCAGGACGAGAGGGACTTGGGCAGACATAGGCTCCTGGTCACGTGAGGCCCACGCGTCACTGCCGAGCTCAGATCCCCAGTCACCACTTTGACCCGAGGCTGAGCTGCAACATCCTGACAGAATCTCCTGACCCCAAGCACACCAGGCTTTGTCACTCACCTCTCTTTGTTTATATTTGCCTTTCCCTGGTTACCAGAGCCAGGCAGCAACTGTCTGATCAGGGGAGGTATTCGCTCCTCCTCTTGGCTGCTTCTGATCCCACCCCTCTCCTCCCCACCCTCTCTTTCTCAGCCACCAAGGCCCCTGCAGTTCAGATCCTGCACTGAAATTTGATCATTGCACCTTCACGAAGCTGTACAGTATCCTTCTATCCCAATACCCCCCGATTTAGTCCACACTCATAACTCTTTCATTTCCATTTAGATTCTTATCAACTTGTTTTTATTTCTTATCTCTTTCATGGGAGGCAATCTGTCAGTTTCCCTTGACATCACCATTTTGCTTATTTTGAGCCTCCAGATCTATATCACAAATAGAAGCTCAGTCCATATTGGTAGGCACTCAGTTGTAGACCTCTAGAAACAGATAAATTTGTAAAGTATGTAAATCTAAAAAGATTGAATGTTTTGGTTTTCATGAATGAAAATACACATTTGTCCATCAAAGTACAAATAGTTCAAAACATTTATTGATTATATAAAAAGGGAGAGTTCTTGGTGCAAGGCATGGCATGGCATTTCTCTCTTTCTCTCTCTCTCTACACACACACACACACACACACACACAAAGAGAGAAAAGTATGTACACACAATAGTTTATATATGTATATATAAATTATTCAATAATTATTAGTAAAAATAGAATAGATTTGGAGGCCAGCACGTGTCATAGTGGTTAAGGTGCTGGACTCCCACATGGCTGACTGTGATTCAAGTCCCAGACCTGGTGACTTGAAACTCATACCAGGTGTATGTGTGTGCATACAAAATCCCAAGAGGAGAATAGAGGAGAAGGGATTGCAGTGTGGCCATCCCCCCTGGGGTGGTGATTTATCACTTTCTTTGTTTCAGTATCTCCAGTGGGCACACATGCCCTATAGCAAAAATCTCCCTTAAAAAAAAAAAAGAAGAAGAAATAGATTTTACTAAGACTCTAAATCCTTACCTTCTTGGTACTTCTGATTGAAAACATTTGTATAAATTTATTAAATGAAATATTTGGGCCTTGAGACTGCAAGATGCGTCAGAGAAGCTATTTGGTATTAAATTATGCACAATTTTTACTCAGACCATATACTGAATAACAGTATTGAAATCATGCCTAACATACTCAATTGTCCATTGCGGGTATATGTTATTGGACCTAATGGTATTCTATGATCTTCAGCCTCATGCCTACATCTAACCTACTCCTAACAGCCTGGATGCTACTTTTTCATGCAGAAGCCTTTTGTTCAAGATCAGCCTTTCTCCTCTTTCCATGTTCTGCACTTTTAAGGTAGGTAGGCATCAGAACTGTGAAGATTTTAGAAGTTTTTATTTTTCAAACTCACGCTGTTGAGTAAGTTTCTGAGCAATAACTCCCATGTGTAAGTTCCCATTTTAGGAACTTTTGGGGGCTAGTGTTATTGCCTAGTGGTTAAGGGAGCCAGATTTCACATGGCTGATTGCAGCTCAAATCCCTGTCCTGGCAGCTTGAAAACCATGATAAAGGGCCAGCAGATGGTGTGGTGGTTAAGGCACTGGATTCCCACATGGCCAACTATGGTTCAAGTCCTGACCTGGTGGATTGAAAATTGTGCTAGGCACGTGTGTATGGATGCCCAAAATCCTGAGAGGAGAAGGCATTGTGTGGCATACCTGTGGGGAGTGATTTCTCACTTTCCCTCTCCCTGTCTCTCTCTGGCAAACACATGTGCCCTGTGGCAAAAATAAAATAAAAATCATGCTGGACATGTGTATGCTTAAATGCCGCAAAATCCCAACAGGATGGAAAAATGGAGGAGAAGAGATTGCAGTGTGAACACACCCCACTGATGCTTTCTCTGTCTTTGTCTCTCTCTGCTGAGCGCATTCATCCAGCAAGTTTGTTAAAATTTTCCATCTTATTTCATTTCTGTAACAGGTGATATCTGGCTATCCTTTTTATAATGTAGAGTGAGAACTTTCCTCATAATGGCTATGTCGCTGGACTACCATGTGGGCAACCACAATCCGAGTCCCAGACCGGATGGCTTAGACTCATGCCGGGCACATGTGCATGCATGCCCAAGATCCCAAGAGGAGAATGGAGGAGAGGGGATTGTGGCATGGCTATCCCCCCGAGGGAGTGATTGCTTGCTTTCTGTCTCTCTGTCTCTCTCTGTCTTTCTGGCGAGTGGATGTGCCCTATAGCAAAAAACTCTCAAACAAACTCTGTTAAGGGTACTGTTTCTCTCTCTTCCATATGGAATAAATAAACCCAATAATAGTGATTATTTTTTTCTAATTATTTATTTAATTGCATTTATTATTATTATTTTTTAATTTGATCAGAGAGAGAGAGAAAAGTGAGAAAGCATGCTGCCAGGCCTGGGTCTCAAACTGGAGTTGACCCTGTGGGAATTTAGCACCTTAACCACCATTCCACCTACTGTCCCCACTATTATATCTATTTTAAATAATTATTTTATTTAACTTTATTTATTATTATTATTATCATTTTAATATTCCCAGAGAGAGACATAGAGAGAGAGGGAGAAAGAGAGAAAGTAAGAAAACAAGTCTCCAGATCTGGGACTTGAACCATGGTCAGCCATGTGGGAGTCTAGTGCCCTTAACCACCATGCCACCTTATGGCTCCCCCACCATTCTATCTTTTCCATTACTCTTTTACCTTTTCCTGTGATGTAGCTTTAAACCAAGTTTCAGTAAGCATTCTTTATGTTTTTACCAAGGATTGGTTTCTCATCGTATGGTTTCTTTTCTGAAACTGTACCATTCATTCATTTCCTCGTTTTTATCTTTACTCTCCTTACATCTTGTGATGAAGAACTCACTACCTTATAAGACATTTCATTGAAGATTCAGAGTTGTGATCATTCAGAGTATTAAAATTCATTGGGCCAGGCAGTGACATAGTGCTTAACACAGCAGGATCCCGCATGACCAACAGTGCAAATTGAGTCTCGGACTCAGTGGCTTGAAAAACATGCTGAGTGCATGTGTGTGTGTCCATGCCCCAAATTCCAAAATCAGGGAGAAATGAAGAAAAAGGGATTGGGAGAGACTATTCTCCACGGGAAGTGCTTTCTCACTTTCCCTCTCACTCTGGCAAGTTCACATGCCCTATAGCAAAAAATCTATATAAAAAATACAGTGATTGACAAAAGTCTATTAACAGTTGGATGTATGAAACAGATTAGGAGGGGCTCTCAGTTTACTGCGATTTCAACTGGATTCAATAATTATATGGTACTTATAAAGTCTGCTGTGATCTTAGGATGTATCTATAGATGTATGGCACCTATTATAGTATAAAGAATGGAGATATGATCATTCCATTCTATACCAGGTAGAATATTCAATATGTTCAGAGATATTTACAAATTCAGAAACATATAGAATGACGAAGGAATTTAAAAAAAAGTCACATCAGAAATGGTTGAAATAACTGGCGATGTTAAACCTAAAAAGAAAAATTTTGGAACCAGTAGCTGGTGTAATGGTTATGTCTTGGACTCTCACATGATTGACCCCAATTCAAGTCCTGGACCCAGTGACTTGAAATTCACGTTGGGCATGTGTGCATGCATGCCCAAAGTCTCAAGAGGACAATGGAATAGAAGGGATTGCAGTGTTCCCATCCCTCCTGGGTGGTAATTTCTCACTTTCTGTTTCTCTGTCTCTCTCAGTTTCTCTAGAGAGTGCCTGCACCCTATAGTAAAAAATCCGTCTTAAAAGAAAAAAAATTTAATGAGAAAATATTATGTGAGGATTACACACATAATGCCTGGCATAAAGTCCTCAACCAATATTAACAAGGGGGCTGAATTGTGGCATAGTGGTGAAATGCATTCTCTATGAGGCAGACCTACATGGGAAGGTTCCAGGTTCATGCTCCAGAGACCCTTCTGAGTATACAGGGTACATGTGTACCCATGATCCAGGGCTGGCTGAGGCTGGGGGTGGATTGCAATGTCAAGACCTTATTAGGGGTGATATCTCTGTCTCTATCTCACTCATGGAAGAAATAATTTAAAAATAAACTTTAAAATATTAATGATAGAATGATAATTAGCAGTATTGTTAGCACTATGTCATACTATCTTACGATTACTGTAGTTAATGCTTACAGAGTACTTTCTATGTGCTAGACACTATCCCAGGTCCTTTATAAATTTTGACTCATTGACTACTCTTAACTGTCTTGTGAGGTAGTTAACTACTATTGTGTCCAATTTTGTAGATGAAGAAGCTGAGTCACGGAAGGGTTAAGTAGCTTGCCCAGTATGTCTTACAAATGAGAAGGTGGCTGGCAGCTGCTGCCATGACAACAGTCTCTAGGATATGGCCTTTCTCTGAAGATCTGAGGAAGTCCAGGGTGGGTTTCTGGTCCAGGGATTCCTGTTCCTGGTGAGGCTGCACTCCCTGCCTCTGAGTCTACTCCCCCACAGCCCTCTCTTGGTTTCATGGAGTCGAGGCATTTTGCTCCCTCCAGCCAGGACTCCCCTGCTACTGCCAACTGTGCATTCTTCTCTAATGACACTGATGGCAGTACTTGGTCTCAGATGTGCAGTTGTTGCTACAGCAGCCCTCCCAGCCTGGGGTCGCACACTGTTGTCCCCATCCCTGTCCCCGAGGAAAATCCAAGTTGGAAATGCAGTGACAGGAGCCTTCTCTTTTCTGTTTCTGGCCTTATCCAAACTGGAACCTAGACACACACACACACACACACAGTACATGCCCAGAGAAACATGGAAGAGGCTCTGTGGAAAGGTGTAGTAGCAACTAGGGCTACTAGAAACACACAGGGACAGGGAAGGCAGGTCCAGACCTGGACTGAATGGAGACAGTCCCAGACTTGGGGCTGGTCAGGGTTCATAATGTCACTCATTGTGGGCCAGAATAATGGG